ACAAACATTTTCAGAGAAAAGAAAAACTTCTTACTACTTACTCTCGATTACGACAATTACTGTATCAGAAGAAAAAGCTTTCACTGGTTCCTACAGAATTGCTTGCTGAAGCCAAAAATGTTACCAGAGAAAAGTCTCAGGAAAAAACCCAGAAAACTGTAAATGCTCTAGTTCTTCGGCAAGCGTTAATATGCCAATTACTGCTTCTCCCACTTCTGGCACTCTGTAACAGTGATAATGGATTCAGAAAGCTTGAAAAAAAACTAGATATTTACCTTTGGGTGAGCTTTGGAGTTAGAGAAAAGGGCACACAAACAAAGTGTATAGATAAATTAGCCAAGTCAATTTACTGTCATTGTTGTTGACTGGATACAGTAACAGAAGCACTAAATATGGTGATAGATATTTAGGTCACGGAAGGCGGGGGAAGAGGTGACAGTTCTCTTAGAAATATGATGTGGGTAGCAGGGGAAAGAGCCTCCTAGAAACCTCCAAGACTTGAGTCAGATTGAGTCACTTTTTCTTTTAAGTTTTTCAGGTTTATAGCTTTCTTAAATCCTAGAGTCATGTTCATTTTGAGAAAAAGGAAAACATTTCATTTTATATCACTCTTGAGAAACTGAAACTTTTGCCAACATCTGGCAAATTTGAGTCAGATCAATGCTCAAGTAAAAAAAAGTTATTGGGGAATGGTCGAAAGCTTATAATTTCTTTTTAATCGCTCACATGGAATTATTTTTAAAATTTGGCTCAATTTTTAAAGCAAATATCAAGTACAAGCTGTATTTTACATGCAGCCAAAGGGTGCATTGTAAATCAACATACATAAACCTCTCATTTACCTATACAATCTATCCAGCTAACTTACCTCCAGCTTCTTTAGAATGTAAACCTCTGCCTACCTGGCTGTGCAGTAGCAGCAGGTTTGTTTTTATATATATTCTGCTATTTGTGTAAACATTTCTGCGTCAACTTTTTTGGCGTAGGACTCTGTAGTGAAATTGAACCTTCAGCTAATCATATTTCAAGACCAAAGTGATATCTGGCTGCTGGTGTTGTATGATGCGTTGCATAATGGAAAGTTGACGCCTTTTCTGTTCATTGTCCTGTTGTCTGTAGACTCATTCAGCTTCTTTTGTTTTATCGTATATCTTATGAAGCTTCTCTTTTTATGATGAGAAAGAATTTATTAGAAACAGTGGCCAGAATTCGTATTGATTTAGCTACCCTGCTATGTTGGTGAAGAAGTTCTTATCGTATTAGCTTTTGATAGATCAAAACAGATATTTTTCTGATAGATGTCTTGTTATGACTGTAAGAAGTTTTGATCACAGTATTTGTTCACAACTTGTGTTATAGAAAATTACAGAATGCCGGATGAAAGGAGGCTGAAAGTGTCCTTTTGTGTCTTCTTTAACATGTGTCATTTCAAGAGGGTGAGGCCCCATTTCCATAGACACCATCGGTCAACATGGAATCGACCCAACTCCGTGGGAACTCGCTGACTGCAATCAGCATAAGTGAATGACACCCTGCCTCTTGTTTCTAACACACTCCTATAATCTCCAGCTTTTTTGTATTCTGCTTAATGCCAAGAGGTGTGTGACACGGTTAGGCTGATGGCACTCAGCGGAAGTCCCTGCAGAGCTGGACCCCCATGCAGACCAATGCTGTCTTCAGTAATGGAGCCTTAGATAGATTACACAACAGACAGCATTTCTAATTTTTTTTCTGTCAGTAATAATAATAAAAGGAAGAAAAATAAATAAAGAAATATAGATGTCTCTTGAGAAATAAAGAAGCAGGAAGTGAATCTCTTCCCTCAAAATAGTTGTCTGAGTACACAGTGTAATAAGACTTCTAAACCTGTCTAAAGCATCTGCTGCCTTAAGTTCCATCTGATGATATTTGTTGATTGAACCATCAAGGGATTTCTGTGGTATGTTATTTGATACTTCAGAATCCATATGGAAATGGTATTTTTGTTCCATCAAACTAGAAAACAAATTTGATTAAGAAACCAATTTGTGAATTTGCTCTGTCATTTTGATGGTATTTGAAAATTGTATTTTTTTTTTATACATATACATCAAATACGTCAAGTAAATTACCTACTCAAGTCCTTGAAATGCATGTCAGCCCAGCCATACCTATTTGAGAAGTAGGAAATTATATTTTTGCCATCAAACAAGAAAATGACCTGATACATTGTAAAAAGTTAATTTGCTGACAGGAGCCCGCCTTTAGTGAGTCCATAACTCAATGATACTCCTGGTATGCATATTCTGCCTTGACCTGAGATATGTTACCAAGTGTACTGAAGTCAAACTCCTGGCAAAACTCTACCTGCTAGTTTGCTGTGTGTGTACAGAAAAGAACGAAACCATATTTTTTACCAGAAATTTCTTATTTGAAAAATCTGGGTTTTTCTGATGGCAGTGTGAGCGAGTTATGAGACTAACAAAAAATGGGTGCAATTCCAGAAACAAGAATTGTAGTAAAATTGTACATTGTACTTGTGTTCAGAGACGTTCAGAGGCAAAATCGTTTTGTTCTTGAGGATCTATATCTCTCTACTTCACAAAACCCTCCAACCTTTCAAAAACCCAGATCAAAAGCAGACCCATTTGAAGTTGCATTTTGTGTCAACATCATAAGACAGAATTGTACTGATGTCTCCTGCATACATGTTCTATAATCAATAACAAATATTATATAAAGATCACCACATTATACAAAGATTATCAAATATTATATCTTGAATAGCAAATGTTACATAAAAAGAATAACAATTGTTATTATCAAAAATAACTTCAAGAATTACAACTACAGACCATAGAGCATATGTAATATCCCCACATCACTAAAATGAAAAATGATCTTAATTATTCCCCACTGCCTTACCACTTATCTGTCCTATTACACTTCATTTCCCCAATACCTATAATCCTGTTTGACTGTAGTGATAAAGGAGACCTGGCCCCTGTATTGCCAGATCTCCAATGGTTGTAATTTCTTTGCATTAATTCAAATTGTTGTTTTTCTTTTTATCAAGAGCTTGTAAAATATGTGGGTATTACCTCCAATATTTCTGTGACTGTCAGTCACCATCATCAGGGAGTAAATGACTAGATAAATAAATAAATAAAAACCACATATTTTACAAGCTCTTGATAAAAAGAAAAACAACAATTTGAATTGATACATACAGAGCTAATGAAACTGTTCTCTCATTCTTTGCATTAAGTTTTGAGGGTTTCTTTTTCCAGTACTTTTAGTGCTTTTCATAGTTCTTACTTAGAGTGTAAATCTTTTTCCTCGCTTCCTGTCAGTTGTACTACAGAAATTCCACATGTAAGCACTGAAATTAATGGTTTTCGGGTTGATTTGGTGTAATATTTTAGCATTAGTTTGAATACAAGTCTACATTCTGATGTAATTTTAGGAAGATAGGCTCTCCATGGATTACAGGCAAGTGTATATATTCACTTTTTCATGCCTAAATATTTGAACAGCTTAACATCTACATAGCAAAAGGGCATATCATGCTGAACCTGCTTTAGGTTGTATTTCAAGGATGGCCACTTGTGATCAAGATAAACTGATTGAATGAAAAACATATACCTGGATTCTGGAATTCACCTGTTCCTGCCCCTCTTGCTGCCTCTGGTCAGGGTTTTTTTTTTCCAATCATTTGAGGAAATCAAAATCATTAGTATTCAGGCTCTATTGTATTTTTTCTTCATCATTTATGAGGTCAAGTATTCACAGGCAATGATTTTAGATATCAACACTTATTTACAGACATACAGAAATTACATGCTGACCCACTTAACTTTTTTATGTATTTATTTATTCTGTATTTTTTTTTTCACATTTAATTTTAGTCTATTTTGCTTTTCAATACAAGATTTTCTCCATGTTTCACAAAATAACTTGCCAGTGGCTAACATCTTTGTAACCAATGTTACATAGTCACATGCCTACCCCCCTATCAGGAGCAATGTTACAGCACCCTCATGGACACATGCACATATCTTATCCTATCAGGAGCAGTTTTACAGCATTCTCATTCACACATCCTCAGGGAACTAGCTTAAAGTAAGTTTTTTTTTCTGTGTGTGTGTGTGTGGAACCAAGGTCAGGTCACTTGTCTAGAAATATTGTAGATCACAGCCTCTTACCTGCCTTCAAAGAGATCATTGTGCCTTGACTGAATTGGATATTTCCGCACACTGTCACAACATAACACAGCTAAGAGTTTGAATCAAGTCAAGTCAAGAAATGTCCATGTTCAATGGCTAGAGAATAACACACACACACACACACACACACACCATCAATATTTGTATCAAAATTTAAGAGCAGAAACATTTTGGCCAAAGGTAATGTTTTAGTTTCTTTACTACTAGTGGATGACTGTGTTCAACATGTCAGTCACTGCAGAAGGATATTAGATGGAGAACTTGCTATCTGAACCTTATTTGATTTCTTCCAGAATGGTATGATGATATACTAGAGGTGTGTTTATATAACAGGTCTTTCTAAACCTTAAAGTGAATTGCTATAGGTCAAACCTAAACAGTTAAAAATAGAAATGTTCATGTAGAATACTATATACATGTAGATAAAGGTGAATTCCTAAACATGGTCAGACTTAAATATCATGAAAAGGAAATTAAACTGTTTTTACAATGAGTAAAGTCTGTTACAGTAATGTACTGAGATGTATATTTCTATGTAGACAAACCTGTTTGTGATCAGAAAAACTTCCACTTCTTTTGCAATATGTTAAGAAGTGAATATTCATCTAAACATTTTAATTTGTAAACATTAAAATTTGTAATTTTATGGTAAACCAAAATATATTTTTTTACTTTCAAAGAAAGTTACTGAAATTGAGACTGCATTAGTTTTCATAAGCCAAAGATTTTAATTCACAGTAAAGTTGCAGAGAAAAGGAATAAAGAGAAGCCAAATGGGAAAAAATCTAATCCTACCATCAAATCCAGCCATGTCAGGCACCATTTCTTGGGGTTCCATACTCTGTTCTGCCATATCTCTGCTGTGTTTGGTGTTCCGAGGTTGTTTTAATTGTAGCTGGAAAGTTTCCTAGTTTTGAAACCACCAAAACTGTTTTAACGGAAGAATCAGTTTTTAAGTGAATTAAATTTCAAACCCAGTGAAATGTCGTGTATCTTTTTTTACTAAATGTGCTGTCCTAGCTTGAGGCTTGTTTACTATTTAATGACACAAATTTGAATTTGTAGAAAAAGGAACAAATTTTTAGCCTGTCTGGTAGGTTTTCATAGACTGTCCTGCAGGTGTTGTAAAATGTGGAAGGTAGTAGACATCCAACTGCAACCGCAGTATTTTACTTCTGTTAACTGACGACTGAAAGTACCGTCTCCATGGCATTTAACTGACCGATCCTCTCCTGTAAGTACTGTTGGGCTGGTCTTGGTCTCCCCACAAAGATATTTCTGTAATGATTATCCCAACTGACCACTCTGCTTCTCTTCCTGGAATGACTTTTTTTCTTCTTTTTCCTCTTCTTTTATTCTCCCTTAAATGACAGTTTTTAAAGTTCAGAAAATCCTGCAGGCTCTAGCTGTTCCAAGAGGCCAATACCACTAGTGTAAAGTTAAGTAATTTCCTGTTTCACTCACAGCTTGAGCATATTAACACTCATATGATTCTGACATCTAAGTCAGGTTGATGAGCACCTCACTGTTGATGAGACTCCAGACTGGCCTCAGGGTGTGGCAGTGGCTGCAGCGGTGTTGGCCGCAGCAGTGGTCACAGTTACCTTGAGGCTGAAAACTTTCTGATGGGAATTTATGGAAAAATTCAACCCTTTCCAAGTGCCTCGGACCTATGGTGTTACACCTTTTTTAGATAAACCGTGATTATAACAAGATCGGCTACAGGATGCTCTCTGAGAAATGGTTTCCTTTGCGGCTTGGTCCGATAATGAATCTTGAACATGGGCAGCAGGGCTAATACCACTTGGAAGGTCCCAGGGATAGTTTTATCCAGACCTTATGTAGGTTTTCCCAGTTTCAGCTATAAATCTTGTGCATGACATTTGTATACTGAATAGATCCAGACCAGATAGTCTAATCCTTCACACTGTTCTGTAGATAATTAAACCCCTTGACTTAATTTTTTGTTCTGATTCAATTTTTCATGGTCAAAAATCGAAGACGCTTATGTCCCCTGAGAATCTTGACACATGGAATGACAGTCCATTTTGTATGTTTGTTCCATAATTTGTTGAGCAAGTAATAATTATAGTGCTCCCAATCTTTCACTGCCGGCCCTGGGACAGCTATTAATTCTTTTCATTTTCAGAAGAAAAAACAATCGAAGAAAGGAGCGGAAGATTGGTTGTACTTCAAAACCACTTAGTGTTCATTAAAGTCTCATTTGGCTCCATGTCTTACATTTCTAATTGAGCTATCTAAATGGTAATGCACAAGTGTCTCTCACTCCCCTTAAGAATAACTCCCTTTGCATACCAAATTAATTGAGTAATCTTACTTTTTACATTTTCTCATTGACAGCAGGGAAATTGGAAAAAAGGGGTCAAAAGTTGAGTCTCTTATCTCATTAACACGGGTCTTGTAGTTATTTCCCCACAAGATTTTACGCATGATTCATGAGGAGGAAAGGACTACATGTAACCTTATTGTATTTTCCAGTTAACTGTAGTTAGACATATTTAAGTGGAAACTAACTTTTTCCTTATTGCCTCCACTTGTATAATAAGGAGTATGGGATAGAAACAATTGTAACCTTTCTGTATTTACCACAGCAATGCTATCATGGAAGATTTGCACTAAATAGTAAGTATAATAGATTGCAATGAAAAGTAATTGTTGAGAATCAGTAGCACTCTACAATTCCAGCTTTGTTTAATCTGATTGTTACCCTAATAACTCATCATTAGAATACATAATTTTGGTTTTGACAACAATGCAACTCACCTTCTGGCAGAGACAGATAGAATGCTCACAGTCACATAACCAGATGACGACTAGATCTGTTCATTGTTCAAGACTATCCTTGGTCTGTCAGTGTGAGAACAACTGTTGTATTAATGAGGTATCATTTAGCTTTATCTGTCAGGCCATGTGATTGATAAATAATCAGGAAACCATGAACAGAATAGGTTTTGGGACCAGCATCCTTCTGGGAGGGTGCACAGCTATCAGGATCTCATTTTGGTTAACCATATTTGCCAACGCAGGAAAGGTGCCTTCCAAAAACCTAGGGATGGAGCCTCTTAGAAACTTGGAATGGCATCCACTAAGAGCTTAGAAAAGGTGCCTTCCAAAAACAGCTTATCTATTCATCCAAATGGGAAATGAAATTTTGCAGACATTACACCCTTTAAGAACATTTAATTTATCATTTTGATGCAGGTCAGATAAACTGAAATTTATGAAGAAATGAAAATTTTGTAATGAACTTCTGATGGTAATGAATTGAAACAGTTTAATTTTGATATTGATTTTAATTTGTAGTATAGACAGGAACAATAGTTTATCACTTTTTTGTCAGTTGGGCCTTGACTGCTTTGAAGAGCACCCCTTCCCCCCACACACACCCCTCCCTCCATACACACCCCTCCCAACCCAAATTGCTTCTCTATTGCTTGAAGTTATATTGAAAACATTGACTGCACTATATCTCCTAGATAGAAGTTATTCACCTGGATAGCCNAGTTTATCACTTTTTTGTCAGTAGGGCCTTGACTGCTTTGAAGAGCACCCCTTCCCCCCACACACACCCCTCCCTCCATACACACCCCTCCCAACCCAAATTGCTTCTCTATTGCTTGAAGTTATATTGAAAACATTGACTGCACTATATCTCCTAGATAGAAGTTATTCACCTGGATAGCCTCACTCCCTGATAAAGATCCTCTGGTAGACATTAAACTATTAGAGTTATATCAGCTGCCAATATTAGTTTCTGATTGAAGAAACATTACTTTATTCTTATTGACTACACTGTAGTTTTCCTGTCATTCAGGCCTCATCTTACTGTTGTTTTCAGTCCGTAAGTACACCACCTCGAGCTTTGAGGTGCAGAAGTAATTCTTGATTAATACCAGTTTCAAAATGTGTCAGGTAGCTACCCATTTTATAACTCATAGCTGATAAGTATCCTACCATATTAAGTTGAATTTACCTACCAATACCACCTAATTCTCATTTGGTAAATAAATGACATTTTGATAACAATTGTCCTGACAGGAGAAACTATTTCAAGCCTCTTGAGTGTAACTATCCATATTTGATGTCAAATCATTGATCTGGAAGTCGTTCAGCATTATTTGAATTGATGGTTCAAAAAATAAAAAGAAGCCAAAGAGTTCTGCATTTTTTATGGATTCACAATTTTGTTACAATTTATCTTGTTAAAAAAAGCTACATTTTCTCCTCCTTGTACCCATCAGTCTTAAAACTAATTGGGATTAAATTTTACTATTCTCAAGCTTGTTCTTTAATTCAGTGTTTCATCCCTCACGTATAACTGCAATTTACATAGTTTATTATCGATGGTTTTATACTCTAAAGGTTATCAGGTTTATAAATTTGAGAGAGAGACAGAGAAAGGGAGAGAAAGATAAGTTTTGAATTGTATAACTGCAATTTATTTTGTTTATTATTGATGGTTTTATACTCTAAATGTTATCAGGTTTATAAATTTAAGAGAGTGAGAGAGGGAGAGAAAGATAAGTTTTGAATTCAGTATAATTTAGAAAAAAGGACCTCTATGGAATTAAGTTCAGTTTTTTACTTCAGAGTTATGTTGTCTTTGAATAGCTAAAAAGCTCACAGATAATGAATGAAGCATTATCCACAGTTGTATTATTACCATACTACATGGAAAACAAACTAAGCCTACCATTGAGCACCTGCACCTAGGACCTAACATAACTAATAATTTTAATTAATATAAATGTGGTTTAGTATCCTTTCATGTCCTTTTTATCTCTGATAATTATGGCTTTTTCTCCATTATATTCATTACAGAGAGCATTATCCAGGATTTACTTACTGCTATGATCATTAGTAGGAATAATACCAAAGAACACATACAAAATATTAATATTTCCCGTCTCACCAAATACTCATCCATTACACACACAAGATAACAATCTGTAAAAATGTCTGACAAACATGAAATAAATATAAAAGAGTTGTCCTTAAATAAAACAACAAACTCAGGGGCCCCTTAAAGGCCAGCACAAGAGGTAATTAACATTTTATGATCCCTGGTTTGTATCAATTTACCATACAAAAATTAAGAGGCATCTGATCGTGCCACATTTGGCAAGACTAAATAGTCCAACTGCAATTGATCCCTGATAAGTACACATTATTGGTGACTGGGGTCCTCGAGAGAGCCTAAAATGAAGTGCCATGAGACAGATAGGAACACATGTATAAATTTTATAGAGAAAATATTATTAGATGAACCTTGGTATTGATTACCTGGCTGAGCTATTGTGTGTATGTTAAATGTCTGGATCTAATATTGGGGGTTCTGTTATTGAAGTAAATGATAAACATTTTCCTGTCTTAGAGCTCATTCCCAATAAAACTATCAGTCCAGGTAGATCGATCTAACTATGCAGGGTTTTTGGCTGACTTTCTTAGATAAGCAGTTTAATGCACCTTCTTCTGGCATTGAGAAGAAAACAGAAAAGCTGGTGTTAATGTGATTGCATTCAGCGAGAGTCCCTGGGGAGTTGGTTTGATCTAATTAGAAAGATAGTTTCATTGGGAATGAACCTTAAGTTTATATATTAGGTGGTAAATTGTCAAGAGAGTCAAAGTTGGTATGCGAGTAACATAATATTGCTCCCTGAATAGGAACATGATTGACTTATTTGTTCCATTAAAGTGTGTTTTTGAGAGTGGAGTATGAAAAATAGGATGGAAGACATTTGTAAAATGAGGCATGATTTTTGCAGTAAGTATGTCTTTGAGAGTAACTCAGAATTATTGCTCTTAGAAAAGCAACATGTTGTCATGAGTGAGCATTCTGAATCAATGAATAATAACCTTAGTGAGAAGATGTAATAGTATCAATATAAGTAGATTGCAAAAATAAAGGTAGAAATATTTCTAGATAAACCTCACATATCCCCAACTTGGTTTACGTGAATGTAACACTAAAGGACCTGACATGGGTAGCTTGGTTGTGTTAGCAGTTTTCGCAAAGCATATCCAAATGCAATTGTGTCCATGATCCCCTCTGTCACAACTAACACAATCCGTGCGTGGTGTCTCATGTACTGCTGTATTGACTCCAGCACGAAACTATAAGTGCAGCATTGCCAATCCATGCATTAACGCTTATTCTAAATATTATATAGGATAGACCCCTATTGTTTACAAGTGTTATGCCATGGATGATAATACATTAGATACTAGATCATCCAAACAATTATGTCATGTTGATAACTTAGTGTGTGTGTGTGTGTGTGTGTGTGTGTTTGGTGCACGTAAGTGTAAATGAAGATTTTAGTACGTGTATGGGAGAGCATGATTTTGTGCACACAGGTATATGAACACACACACACACACACACACACACACACACACACACACACACACACGATTACCCCACCTACCTCCAGCCATCAGTAACACCTGGCTCTGGACATTCTGACCACAGGCAGGCGTAGTGGCGTCCAGACACAGCATTCTGACCAGCAGGTACATTGGTGAGTCCATGTCCACTCCCAGGTGGACGGCCGGCTGGACCACGGTATAACTGTGCCGTCTGCTCAGAAACATTGTGGCTCAGGGAATGAGGACCTGAAAAGATAATCATATGAATGAATTGATTTAGATATGAAGAGAAATAAAACTGTGAGTGTGTGTTTGTAATAGTATACATGTGAATGATGGCCTGAAAAGAAAATAAAGAAAATCATGTGAATGTGCGTACATACAGTTTTGTGCAGAGAAGATGCCATTACGGATACGCTTACTTCAAAAACGATTAACTTGTCTTACGTACGCCCCTTAAGAGGACAAAAGAATTGTGTGAAAATCCGTAGGCTAAAGGACAATGCCGACTTACGTACATTTTACTTACATCTTACGTACANTGTTTATCACTTTTTTGTCAGTTGGGCCTTGACTGCTTTGAAGAGCACCCCCTCCCCCCCCCCCACACACCCCCCTCCCTCCATACACACCCCTCCCAACCCAACTTGCTTCTCTATTGCTTGAAGTTATATTGAAAACATTGACTGCACTATATCTCCTAGATAGAAGTTATTCACCTGGATAGCCTCGTTTCCTGATGAAGATCCTCTGATAGACATTGAACTATTGGAGTTATATTAGCTGTCAATATTAGCTTCTGATTGAAGAAAAATTACTTTATTCTTATTGACTACACTGTAGTTTTCCTGTCATTCAGGCCTCATCTTACTGTTGTTTTCAGTCCGTAAGTACACCACCTCGAGCTCTGAGGTGCAGAAGTAATTCTTGATTAATACCAGTTTCAAAATGTGTCAGGTAGCTACCCATTTTATAACTCATAGCTGATAAGTATCCTACCATATTAAGTTAAATTTACCTACCAATACCACCTAATTCTCATTTGGTAAATAAATGACATTTTGATAACAATTGTCCTGACAGGAGAAACTATTTCAAGCCTCTTGAGTGTAACTATCCATATTTGATGTCAAATCATTGATCTGGAAGTCGTTCAGCATTATTTGAATTGATGGTTCAAAAAATAAAAAAAGCCAAATCATTCTGCATTTTTTATGGATTCACAATTTTGTTACATTTTATCTTGTTAAAAAAAGCTACATTTTCTCCTCCTTGTACCCATCGGTCTCAAAATTAATTGGGATTAAATTTTACTATTCTCAAGCCTGTTCTTGAATTCAGTGTTTCATCCCTCACGTATAACTGCAATTTATGTTGTTTATTTATTATTGATGGTTTTATACTCTAAATGTTATCAGGTTTATAAATTTGAGAGAGAGAGAGGGAGAGAAAGATAAGTTTTGAATTCAGTATAATTTAGAAAAAAGGACCACTATGGAATTAAGTTCAGTTTTTTACTTCAGAGTTATGTTGTCTTTGAATAGCTAAAAAGCTCACAGATAATGAATGAAGCATTATCCACAGTTGTATTATTACCTGTTACATTTATACTACATGGAAAACAAACTAGGCCTACCATTGAGCCTATCACATGAGCACCTGCACCTAGGACCTACTATAACTAATAATTTTAATTAATATAAATATGGTTTAGTATCCTTTCATGTCCTTTTTATCTCTGATAATTGCAGCTTTTTCCCCATTATATGCATTACAGAGAACATTATCCAGGATTTACTTACTGCTATGATCATTAGTAGGAATGATACCAGAGAACACATACAAAATATTAATATTTCCCGTCTCACCAAATACTCATCCATTACACACACAAGATAACAATCTGTAAAAATGTCTGACAAACATGAAATAAATATAAAAGAGTTGTCCTTAAATAAAACAACAAACTCAGGGGCCCCTTAAAGGCCAGCACAAGAGGTAATTAACATTTTATGATCCCTGGTTTGTATCAATTTACCATACAAAAATTAAGAGGCATCTGATCATGCCACATTTGGCAAGACTAAATAGTCCAACTGCAATTGATCCCTGATAAGTACACATTATTGGTGACTGGGGTCCTCGAGAGAGCCTAAAATGAAGTGCCATGAGACAGATAGGAACACATGTATATATTTTATAGAGAAAATATTATTAGATGAACCTTGGTATTGATTACCTGGCTGAGCTATTGTGTGCATGTTAAATGCCTGGATCTAATATTGGGGGTTCTGTTATTGAAGTAAATGATAAACATTTTCCTGTCTTAGAGCTCATTCCCAATAAAACTATCAGTCCAGGTAGATCGATCTAACTATGCAGGGTTTTTGGCTGACTTTCTTAGATAAGCAGTTTAATGCACCTTCTTCTAGCATTGAGAAGAAAACAGAAAAGCTGGTGTTAATGTGATTGCATTCAGCGAGAGTCCCTGGGGAGTTGGTTTGATCTAATTAGAAAGATAGTTTCATTGGGAATGAGCCTTAAGTTTGTATTATTAGGTGGTAAATTGGCAAGAAAGTCAAAGTTGTTATGTGAGTAACATAATATTGCTCCCTGAATAGGAACATGATTGACTTATTTGTTCCGTTAAAGTGTGTTTTTGAGAGTGGAGTATGAAAAATAGGATGGAAGACATTTGTAAAATGAGGCATGATTTTTGCAGTAAGTATGTCTTTGAGAGTAACTCAGAATTATTGCTCTTAGAAAAGCAACATGTTGTCATGAGTGAGCATTCTGAATCAATGAATAATAACCTTAGTGAGAAGATGTAATAGTATCAATATAAGTAGATTGCAAAAATAAAGGTAGAAATATTTCTAGATAAACCTCACATATCCCCAATTTGGTTTACGTGAATGTAACACCAAAGGACCTGATATGGGTAGCCTGGTTGTGTTAGCAGTTTTCGCAAAGCATATCCAAATGCAATTGTGTCCATGATCCCCTCTGTCACAACTAACACAATCCGTGCGTGGTGTTTATGCAGAACTTGGAATCTCATGTACTGCTGTATTGACTCCAGCACGAAACTATAAGTGCAGCATTGCCAATCCATGCATTAACGCTTATTCTAAATATTATATAGGATAGACTCCTATTGTTTACAAGTGTTATGCCATGGATGATAATACGTTAGATACTATATCATCCAAATAGTACTGTCATATGGATAACTTACGGTATAAATGTGTGTGTGTATGTGTTTGGTGAACGCAAGTGTAAATGATGATTTGAGTACTTGTATGGGAGAGCATGATTTTGTATATGAACACACACACACACACACACACACACACACACACACACACACGATTATCCTACCTACCTCCAGCCATCAGTAACACCTGGCTCTGGACATTCTGACCACAGGCAGGCGTAGTGGCGTCCAGACACAGCATTCTGACCAGCAGGTACATTGGTGAGTCCATGTCCACTCCCAGGTGGACGGCTGGCTGGACCACGGTATAACTGTGCCGTCTGCTCAGAAACATTGTGGCTCAGGGAATGAGGACCTGACAAGAAAATCATGTGAATGAATTGATTTAGACATGAAGGGAAATAATACTTTGAGTGTGTTTGTAATAGTATACATGTGAATGATGGCCTGAAAAGAAAATAAAGAAAATCATGTGAATGTGTGTACATGTGTATGCATGTGAGTTTAAGTTTTTATATTGTTTTTACAATAATTATATTTCTCAAGACCTGAGATTTCGTGACCATTTTGATGAAATCCCAAAAATGAAAAAAATATACAGGTTATTTTAATACTGTGTTTTGGCAGGCTCTCGACTTACAGTAAGCCTGTTTATACAGAACACTATATATATAATCTTTTTGGATAGTCAGCAATGGAAGAAAATGATACTGATATGTTATATGTAATCATATTTTGAAGTATATAAACTAATGTATATATAATTGGTAAATGTGTTGTTACGTGATTTCTTTGATCTCTGATATATGGCTTGACTTCATTGTTACAGTGTAGATAATGATGATTATGATAATTATTTTGAGTGATGGGTGGCACTGTTAAATCATTTGAAACTTGACTTTGACTATCTTGATATTTGATTATTTAAAAGATTGTATAATAAACCTATTTGTTAAATTTTATATATTGAGAACTGATATATTTTAATACGTTTATAACAGTTCCCATTTCTGTACATTTATACCTATCTGCCTCAATTTATCTGTGTCTTTATATTGTGGATCAGATCTGCACATTTACACAAGATCTGTGGTGATGGCAACGTAATTTATGCCCCTTTTTTTCATATTTTTCAGTTGTTCTCCCAAGATTAGCAGTAATGGCTGCCACCAATAATCATACGACCAATGAAACGCGTAAACGTGATGTAGCCATGCAGCTGTGGGAAGCGTACAGTGCGCTGTCATGCTGCTGTATCCTTTTTTATGTACAGAATTAACTGAACATTTTTAATTGCCTTACTTTTTTTTCACTTATTTCACTGTTTCAGGATTTATTATAAAAGTTACTCAGTGACACTTAAATGCACTTTCTGATAGGAAGCCAACTTTTTTTCAAATGTACTGAAACAGCAATTTGAATTATCACTGGGTAAAAACTGTTCGGTTGAAAATTTTTAATTAATTTTGCTTGAATTAAACAGGTAATTACCAAGTGCACTCACAGTGTTTTTTTCATCCTTCTGATGGCTTTAATGGCATGTGAAATGTATTAATATGTATTCTTGGTTGGTTTCCCATATATGAAAGAATGAAGGTGAAGTAAAAAATATCATTCTCCATTCGATGTATATAATCAGTCTCTCACGCTCCTTTTTATCCCCTCCCCTTTCCATGCTAGCATGTTGGAAGGAAAGAGGTCAAGGAAATTATTGTCAGTTGCCAGCTTTCGTTCCATCTAAGTGTCAACTTCACAAGCCGTAAATGGCTGAAAAGTCAAGTAACTTTGCCACAGCAAACTTTCCCCAAGGTATCTCTGTATCATTATGTTTTCTGCCCTGACTCTGGGTTACTCAGTAGATATAAAATTTGTGAATGGGAGTGCAAGAGACAGATAGCTCAAACTTCAAACTACCTCTGGTCAGTTTTTTTATTTGGGGGGGGGATAAATACTCTCATGCTAATCACGACTATATTATATCTTCTGATTTGAGGGATATTTGTTTGCTGGTTTGACCATGTATGGCCCATATAATACATATGTAGTATGGTAACAAAATAGTCACATATCTATCCAGCAGAAATGTGGGACTTTGGACATATGGAAGATGGAGGAGGCCGGCTGCTGCTTAAATGCTGTCTAATAATAGAAACCATCATGCTCCCCCCCCCCCCCCCCTCCCTTTACACCTACTTGTAACTGACCCAATGTTAAAATCCTAACACAAGCAATAAAGATGGTACCAGGAAATTAAATTATTCAGAATTCTGTTATCTTCACATTAATTTCACAAATTACTAGCCACCAGCTGCCATTATTAGGTTTAATAAACTACCGGACAGTAGATATTTACAGAAATGACTTGATCTTTTCCATGAGGAAAAATTATCAATCATTTAGATACATAAATTTGAAATTAATTTAAAAAAAAGAGTTCTATATAGCAGTCAAGTAATTGGCAGGTAGTGCAGCCAGAAGCAATTATCTTCCACACGTTGGCTCTGTTCACAACCAAGTTGAGCTATTGCCAAACTGAACTGTATCACAAATATGGCACGCACTTGAAAGCATATGCAGCATAATCCAGTAACGGATTCCACGTCTCCCATGTGCACCTACTACCCCACCACGCAGGGATTACACGACATGCTTTCGAGTGGAGCACGCCATGTTTGTGTTGTGACTTAGTTAGGCCTGGCTCAACTTGACTGTGAACAGACCCATGGTCTCTGGTGGTTTGTTACAATGGTTGATTTGCCAGTTTCTATATATGAACCAGCTGAGTGCTAGTTGTCTGATATGTAGTCTTAAAAGTCCTTTTAAGATGTTGATTGTAATCTGATTGTACCCTGATAATAAGCTCTCATTAACTGCATTTTTTAAGGTATTTGTAGTCATTGGTTTTATAAGGCAGGATAGAATGAGTATTTTTTTAAGCTGCGTTCACAACTTGGCTGAATTATGTTTACATTTGATAAGGTGATGCCAGGTAGATTATTACGTGTCTCAGTTTATCTGATTGTGAGCCAGACTACTGATGTTGGAGCTGTTGGTGGTTATGGATTTGCTTGTTTTTTTTTAATTTTTCTGAACTGTGCATTTGTATCACCTGTCATAAGGACATACACCTTCTGCCAATTAGCTGTTAAAACCTTACCATATCAATGTTGGCACAACTGAGGCCTTGTTGGCAAAAAAAAAAAAAAATGCCTTTGATGTCAAGGAAAATTTTTAAAGTGCATGTAGACAGGTGGTCTGATAATGTTTTGTTCTAAAAGATGTGAATGCATTAAACAGAGGCAGTTGTGTTAAAAGTTGATTCCATTGCAAAATTATCAGAAATGAAAAATCATTGTTGAATGGATTGTGATTGAGCCATTAATGGAAATAATGTAGAAATACATTTGTTCAGTGCTTTAATGTTTTACTGGTCCATAAACTCATTATAACTTTATATGTGGAGATAAAAAGTAGAATTTCATAAAGGTCAGGGCAATTTATTTTGCTTTATTCCAAAAGATGTGAATGCAGTAAATACCAGTAGATGCAATATCACAGTCCAATTGCAAAATTATCCAAAGAGAAGAATCAGCCTTGGACGTATAATTGTTAATGGACAATTCCTGTAAATAGTGTAGAAATACCTTAGTTCAGTTCCTTTATCGGGTTTTACTGGTTCATAAATTTATTATAGCTGAATATGTAGAGTCAAAAAGTAAAATTTCATATAAGCCCAGGCAATTTATTTTGATTTTTGGGAGAATGGTGTGATTATTTAATTTGTCTCTATGCATAGACATGATCTGTAATTATATTTGGCTTAAACAAGTGTGTCATCAGTAATGATCTGTTATTTAAGAACCTTGCTTGACTGATGAACTGAACAAACATGTATGGCTGACCCAGAAATCCAGCAAAAAAAATTGCAACTAAAACTTTGTTATGCACTCAAAGTAACAGTCGTTGTTTCTTGGAACAACAGCTGAAAATCATATTAGTTAATGCAACTCCCATATTTTAATGTCTCACTTAGGTACCTTCATAAGGGAAACACTATTACACCTACAGGCTCGTTCCTTGAAGATGTGTCGTATGAGACATTAAAATATTGGATTTGCTGTGGTAATAACTGCTAGAATTCATATATAGTGGAACTTGTTCTAACCCCACTTGTTTTCCTTCTATAAATGCTATATCTTAGCATAATTAATGATGAGCTTAAAACAATAGAAGTTGAAATACATATTTAAAGTTAAACTCATTAGTTAAACTCACTAGGAGAAAATGTACCTGTTATCTTCAACATTACACTATCATTAATTACTTATACAAAGTGCTGTCAACCAACCAACTTAATTGCAGTCAACACAGTTCTGAAAACGTTTTAATTTTGAATGAGAAACAATGTTTGGTATCAAGACTGATGTTAACACTAATAATAAATTAATGCATATATATATATATATATATATATATATATATATATATATATATATATATATATATATATATATATATATATATATATATATATAATCTGATTCAGGGATTTCCTGCTCAGTTACAACAGAACTATCTGTCAGATACTTTATGTTTAAGTCATACACTTTGAAAATTGAATACTGAGTATTAGGATAAAGATCATGGCTGCTGTATACTGTTTGTTTCTGTGCAATACTTTCATACTGCAATGATACAAAATACACCTATTTAATGTAAGTGAACAATTAAGGCAAGGATAAAGAATTTGACATAATAAAACTAGTGCTCATGGTTGAAAATTGTCAAAAACCTTTTCTGAGTTTTCAGCTTTTACCCATAAGCTTGATCACTTACCTTAGCTTTGCCTAATAGCTGCGAATCCCAGTCTAGTTGACACTAGCAGTAAATGTTGTACATGTACAGGCCCCAGGTCTGCAAGATCTAAGCTAGTTACCGTTTCCTTTACACTGTTTATCACTGTCTATCAGTCAGTATTCCACCAAGTCTTGTGCTATCTATAATTCTTCCAATGAATTGCTGGTAGGCTTCCAACTCTGGTGTGAATGGCCTATCTACTGATGATGCAGAATTATTGTGATAATTTTTCTATCTGGAGTTGTGCAGAAGTCTCAGATCAATGAAGGTCTCCTCAGCAATTGTGGTGTAAATTACTTCCTGAATTGCTGATGACCGGTATTCTGCCAACCAGGAAGTAAGTAATTTGCTCTTTTTGTTCTCAGAGCTGAAGATGTCTCGGATCAAAAAAGCACGACATGAGCTGAAATGTTATTAAAAAGTGTGTTGAAGTCCCCCAGGTATATCAGTCAGTCTCTAAATGGCGTCCACTATTTCTGTACCCTTTTTCTCCTCCCTAAGAAGAATCATCTTGATTTTAGCCAAAGATATTGAATCCCCTGTGTAATTTGTGAAGTCCTACTCTGATTCCTCTCCAACCAGAAATGCTGAGCTGTGTCCGTGTGGAGTAGTATGCTTAATGCTCCACTGAACTCTGCTGGCAACTACATGTGTATTCTTGCTGCAAGGTACATATGTATCTCCGGTCGTGTTTCCACTCAACTTGGACCAGCCTAACTGAGCAAGGCACATTTTAGAAGGTTTTCTTATATTTGAATATTTGATACAGTTAGTATAATTGTTATCGCTTGGCTGGAACTTCAAACAATAGGATAACTACTCATGTATTTTGCTTACACACTTGCCTATATTTTCACTGGCCTTTAAGTGAAAGAACCTGTTGTTTAAAGCAACAGCCATGGGATAAGCTACAACTATTCCCTCATCCACTGTATGTGGCATACAATGGATGACCCATATTGTAACTAGTGCTTACAGTGGTACAGTGCTGGGTATCTTGACATTGGATTGTGGGGCACTGTTTTCAGGTTATGTCTTGATTTTTTTGGTTATGAGCCATAACTCTTGGGAGGCTTGTTTGACTGAAAGTTGGGTGAAACTTAGGGGCCATTCAGAATAAAAGATCCAAGTATCAGCTGATAGGAAGACCACTTAATCCAGTAATAGTCTCTTTGCCTCTTACACACCTCCCCACACTTTATCCCTTCAGGGGCACAGTAATTAAATCTCGACTCAATTCGTGTCCACCATATTTGATCCTTGGATCAGCTGATACTCGGATCTTTTATCTGAATGGTCCCTTAGGCTAAGGGCTCATTCCTCTTGGTTTTGAGTAGAATACAGAAATGCTGATGATAATACCTGTGTGTTAGAAACAAGAGGAGGTGTGTTAATCTATTAATCTGATTGCATTCAGCGAGAGTCGGCAGAGTTGGATCAATCTACATAAAATGATAGTTTCATTGGCAGTGAGCCCTTTAAGACCAAAATTTTAGTCAACTTGGACCCAATATAAATCAGTAGTATGATCAGATGGGCCTGTGCTATAACAGGAAAGATTTACTAGCTTATGTTTTAAGGTACATTAAGTTTGTCGGTTTACTCTTTTTGATACTCTTACTAGTAAATTTTCCTTGATCCAAATCTATACCTGTACATTGTAGTTCTCTCAAGAATCTATGAATTTATAATAGCCTTATTGTAATATAAGTACATCTACATGTATTTTACATTCACGTATAAAGCTTATGGCTTTCTCTTTCCCTCTTTATACAAGAGAAGCTCATGAATTTCTTTATTCCCCAATGGCTGGATGAACATTTATCTGTAATGGACCTCAGCCTGTGTGCTCTCTTCACATTGGGGCAATCCCATTGTGCAAGCTACTCATCTTAGATCCCATTCCCACACCTAGATCGAGCTAGCAAGATCGACCCATCTCTGAGGGGATTCTCGCTAAATTACATTCAGCTGAAGCTGCTTAGATTTCTGGCACGCCTAGTGATGCTGTTAATGATAATGGTTAATTACCCCGTAATAACGTCAGTAGGCGTACCAAACATTAGAGCCCCTTAAGCGAAGTTCAATTTAGCGAGAAACCCCTTGGAGATGGGTCAATCTAGGTATGGGAATGGGGTCGAAGTGAAGAGTTTCCACTTGAACTCTATTTTTGTCATCCACTTTGAGAGACTGACAACTCATTAGCCTCCTTTTTGTCTCTTAGTCATCATAATGGATCCCTGTGATCAACAAGACCAATTCATTTCATTGAACAGTAGGGAGCAACCTTGTAAAAGGGAATAATCCCCCCCCCCTCCCCCCCCAAGGTGTAATGTGACATGTTAAAGTGTACTGGTCCAGACTGGGTAAAATAAGTATACCATTTGATGTGAGAATGGCCTTAAACTCAGGGTGTCTGCCTATATCTCTGCTCACATTAAGTCGATCCCACTTTAATGACTGCTTATTCCACAGAGCTTTTGATGTATCCCTGGGTATACAAGATATTGTCCGTTGATCCTGTAGTCCTGTATTGGTCTAATGGCTAGGTAGAAGCTCCTGGCCATTCCACAGAGCCTTTGATCAGGAGAAGTGAAATTGCAAGACATGCAATCTGTTTATGTAATTAAAACTGTTGCCTTTCACATGTTTTCATTGCCTATGTGTGTACAGGCTTTTAGCCAGCAATTTCAAATGGGGGGGGGGGGGGGGCNGTGTACTGGTCCAGACTGGGTAAAATAAGTATACCATTTGATGTGAGAATGGCCTTAAACTCAGGGTGTCTGCCTATATCTCTGCTCACATTAAGTCGATCCCACTTTAATGATTGCTTATTCCACAGAGCTTTTGATGTATCCCTGGGTATACAAGATATTGTCCGTTGATCCTGTAGTCCTGTATTGGTCTAATGGCTAGGTAGAAGCTCCTGGCCATTCCACAGAGCCTTTGATCAGGAGAAGTGAAATTGCAAGACATGCAATCTGTTTATGTAATTAAAACTGTTGCCTTTCACCTGTTTTCATTGCCTATGTGTGTACAGGCTTTTAGCCAGCAATTTCAAATGGGGGCTCTTTCTTGTTCCAATTTGAGCAATGGCACAGAACCTGTGTTATATTTTGATTTAGAGTGGACCTTTTCCAGCCAAAAGGCAATTCTTTCTAATCCCACAAACCTTTCCTAGCAAGCCTGATATATGTGTGCACTTTTCATGTGAATGTAGTTGTCAATATCTAAAAATTAAAAAAAAAACTAATAGCATAAAAGGAAAAAACTGGTAAGATTTTTTGAAATAATTATTCTTTAGAATGAGGTACAAATTCATGAAAAAGACAACAATCCGTCTTCATCACAAAGATCTCCTATAGTCACAGCTGGTTACAACCAGTCACTGCTGGAACACATTATGGATTACATGAGCAATGATATGAGTGTACACATATCACAAAATAGGACTCTTTCCTTTGTTTGTCAACATTGTATTTGCTGTACTACCAGCTGATCAGTGTCTGACAACTGTATTCTTTTTCCTAAAATTTTATTTTCAAATTTTATAGAGATGTAGCCATAATGGTTATAATATTGGATGAACCAAGTAAGAGAAATGGATAATTCAGGTTCGGTAACAATTATATATTATAAATGTATTTTCATCTAGTGAGTATTTCTTCCCATATTTTAATGTTTTCCTCGAGGTTGGGCATCCTCAAGACAATAATGTCTGCATGTGCTATTAAACCTATTAATCACCTGGGAAAAAAGACACATAACTGAGTCAGGATGTAACTGAAATGTGATTTTAAGTGCTTTATTGATAATTAGCTGTTCAATAAAATCAATATGAGTGATTGATTTAAGAAGATTCCTCTGGTTCTAATCTAATTGTTGCACTAGGTGTTGCTGTTCATGTGTGTGTGTGTGTGCATGAATGTGAGCACAAATTCATACAATTTTATTAGCGACCATGTTATGAATTTAACACCAAACCCATGAAATAATGCCGTCCATTTTCCTCTCATTAATTCATTTCAAAATGGAATGATTGAAAAAGGCAAATTATTCAAGAAATTTCTTTATTTAGATGTCACCAACGTTATATTAACAGACATGAATTAAGTTGTGTAGCTAGTGTAATGGAGAAAACAAATATTAGTGACCTATTTGCTATTTTTGCCTGCTTGATTTACCCCTTTCACCAGAATCCAGCAAGGCCAGACAAAATTATCTCTATTTCCAGTTAAGCACTGGGGAAGTTTCTCAGAAAATTTCATCTCCTTTTCCCTTTCCCTTTGGGAATGTATGTTTTTTTTTTTTGTTGTTGTTGTTGTTTTTTTGCCCTGACTTCATTTTTTCTTACAATTTTGTGCTTTTAAGTAGGAATGGCCAAAATTGTTAAAGATGTGAGAGAAAGTAAGTTAGAAAGTTCAAAATTGTACAGAATTTTGGTAAATTATTGAACACAAAATCTTCAATGATCTTCACTCACCCCCAAGGCCCCAACAATTTCCTGGTAAACAATTGGTATCTTATGTCAAATGTTTGATATACTTCATACCTTAACTGTATACCCCAGTCATCAATGAGCAGTTGATCAGCGAGGCCATGTTGCCAGGGTTACGGTGTCTACGGCAGGACATGGCGCAGGTGGCACCAGAACTGGAGTCTGTGGTGTCGTCACTCATCAAAGACTTTGAGACTAAAGTAGAGGCACCCAGGCCGTTGGACAGGTATGTATGATATACAGAATTTGAAACACATTGTGTTTAACACTTTCATATAGCAAAATTAACATTTTAATTGGCTCAATTTTTCCTTAGTCACCAAGGTATATCATGTATAAAACTGTTCACAGAATTATGACCCATGAACCTGTTTTTGAGTTCTAAGTACCTAGTTTTAATGGACATAGAAACTGGCGAATATCATTGTGGATGGTTGAAATTAGAAATTTATATTTATAAAATAGGTCAATTTTTCAGTGATAGATTGAGAATAAATTTGTGAGACAGTGCCAAAATCTCTCTCTTGCTCTCTCTCTCTCTCTCTCTCTCTCTCTCTCAAATTATCATGGGCACTTCAAGTTAAATCCCCTTGCCCGTCCTTTGTCAGTTTTAGAAGCGCGAGTTCTTCAGGTTGTCAACTGTGGCATATAATCACATTTACAATAACCAGCATCACATCGGCAGCTCATACATTTGTCACTCACCCTCATTTTTCCCTAGTTTTCTCCTGCATATTTTGAAGGAAGACAAGATTAGATACATATCTTCACATTTAAGTTGCTTTTGATATGGCCACCTGAGATATTAAAGTTTCCTCGCAGTGTTTGTATTCAGACTGATTGCCAGTTTGTATTGACATCTTATGTCTCAGGGGACTGGGTCTTTTTTCTGAATATAAATTGATGCTGGTGTCAATAAAGATTCAGTAGCTTTAGATATGATCATTGTGTTTCCTTAGAAGAAGGACGACCTGATAGGTTTTAAAGAATTAATAGTTAAAAGTATAGTCATGAGGTTTCTGAGAGGCTCTAAAGCTGAGGGTGTCTGGAAGATTTATTCTATCGAAAAACATGGAAGTAAAATAATTATTAAATGAGATTTGAAGACACTAAATGAAACCTGTCCAGACTTCATTAAAATGATAAACTAGATTTTTATATATATACATTCACACTCCCATTAACACTTATTACTATTCTGTGCAGGTATTTTAATACTTAGTTCTTTGGCATTTTCCCAACAAAACTGGAAAGTAATAAATATTATATTTAATTAAGGTGCAACTAATGGGCTGTGGGGAAATTAAAATCAGCTTCGTCCAAATTCCCCATGTACACTTTTGAAAGCAGTTTAGAGGATGCACACTGTCGGTGGTATATACCAATTGGTTTGTTACACCAATGCATTTTCTATATTATTACAGTATTTTTTTTTCAAATAAATATACAAGTGGATAAAAAGTGTCTTGTATTCAAGAGATTTGAAGCTTGTTAGTTCCATGTGCCGCGGGTCCCACATCAAATATAACAACCACCAAGGGAAGAGGTCACACATGTTTATTCATGCATACAAACAGACAGGCAATGTATGGTGGCATGGTGCATGGTGAAAACTACAATACAAATAATAATAGTCAAATAATGAAATGCATATAAAAATACAATATAAATTAAGTGTTCTTAATATAAGTTATATGTTCTCACGTTTAAATTACAAATATAAGCAGATTAATAAATTAATCTCATGAAATTCGGAAATGTTTCACTGTCAATAAGTTTCTTTTAATTTCATCAGCTATGTACTTATATAACTATGATTAACAAATTGTATTCATGTGTACACAAAATATGGGCTATCACGGTGGTGACTGGCAGACACTGCCAAAATACATGATTTGTATGTACGGGTTATAATGCTTTTTGAATAATAGTACTTCATGGGCTCATTGTCATAATGTGAGGCACTTGTGGTATATTTTTTAAATATACAACATCAGTTCAACAGTTTGTTCAGACTAACTGTACAATTTCCAAATGATAAAAAAGAAATTATTGATATATGCATGATGAAAACTAATCTCAGTAGACCATTGCTCTGGAGCATTACGATTGATTTGTGTCACGTAACTGAGTACGATGAGGTGAAGATGAAGTGGTTGGTGTTGTATAGGCTGTCTAGTACTTGACAGCCAACTGATGACTTTGTACTTTCAGGTTTGATGAATAGAATACTAAGTTGTTCATATCCGTACCACCGTATATCCATTGCTGCAATTTCTGGGCCAACATGAAAAATGAGAATATAGTTTTACGTTTCTGTTTTGTTTTCTTAAATATTTTTATTGGTTTATTTGTTATTTACTATTTTTTTTTTATGATTAGTGTGGTAACTTGATAACAAGAGAGAGACTTTCTCTTTTCCTCTCTATGATTTGGAAATGTTTCATCTAACACCTGAAATAAATATGGACAATATGCTGTGTAATACCTAGGCTCTCGCTCTCTCTCTCTCTCTCTCTCTCTGGGTTTCATGTTAAGTACATTTAACATGATTTTCTCTTCTATTTTTTATCTCTTGTATAAAGTTGGTAAGAGAAAACTAAACTGATGTTTATCTTAGCCCAGATAAAAGCTGTCAAAAATGGAATTTTTTCTTAAGCCCTATATTGCCAAGAGCCCAAAGAGCAGATGTAGTCCTAGGGCTCATTCCCATTGTAACTATCTGTCCACATAGAACGATCCAACTCCATGGGGACTCTTGCTGAATGCAGCCAGTTTAACAGATCAACATGCCTCCTGGTATTGAGTATAATACAGAAATAAGCTGGTGATAATATGAATATGGGCACATTCAGAACTAGTTGCAATTAAATCTCTACACACTTTCAAGTGGGTGGCACCATATTTGATCCTCAGTCTAGATAGTCCATAGATCGACTGGTTCTGAATGCAGCCTTTGTTGGAAACAAGAGTTGGCCCGTTAATCCTAGTCACAATTATGTTAAGTGTAACCTAGGACCCATGAAACCATTTCATGGATCCTGGGTGACAAAGAATACTATAAGTTTGCACTTTTATTGAGTTTGTCTGCTTGTTGTCTGCTTTGTCTGTGTTATAATTCCCTTTTTTTTTAATTCCTCAGTTCACTACTGTATTTTTCTAACATGAACTGTTTGTGAGGCAGCCAGCTGGGTGTATATTCTGTTACACCATATTATGTTACACATATTAAATTATTAATCAGGGGCTAATCCAGGATAATTTGAAGGGCGGTCCACAGATGCGAAGCTGACCCTCCACTCCTCCCTCCCCCCCTCCCTCCCAACTGCTGGAGGCCCTGAAAATTTTTGGTATTTTAGAGGGTGAATGGTACCATTTGGTATTGTTTGGAACTATGATTCAGCTTGTCAAAAATTGAATTTCAAGAAGGGACCGTTAGTGTGATTTTTTTCAGAAATCGATTGCAGGGTCAGGACCACCCTGAACCCCCCTAAATCCAACACTGATTATTATAATGTAATAATTTCCATTTTCTTTTTCCACTCAACAGAATAAGTAGTTAAGGTTTTGTCTAGTTGTTTATTTTATGGTTAATTCCACGCAGTGTGATGAGATGAAATAATTTTAATGTGAGGAAAAAGAAATGACATTGTGTAATTGGTTTGTATTTTATTTGGTAATAATCACACCTGTTGATGATAATATTTACTGTCATTTATATTATTATTATTCCAGAAGTGGTAGCATATCTGCTGCAGTGTCAGCAGTGACAGGAACAGGAGCAGACAACATGAAGACCAAAATGATGAATACCTTCAAGGACATCAAGGACAAGTCCACGTCCTCTCGGGCAAATATTGCCAGCATCTTTAGAAAGAAGTGATGAAAGACTGAACGTTTTATGTCAAGTGAAACCTGGAATAATCAAGTGGTGAAAGTCTTTTTTTATAAATAGATGGCAGCACTGTCAAATTAGTTATTGGCAGGGGTTGGTGAGCTGGAGTGGGGGGGAGGGGGTACATCAGGGATGTGCACATGTGGTTCGTATTTAATGATAAGGTGAACATTAAAAGAAGCATGAATATTAATGTTTATAAAAGTATGTGAGCTGTTACCATGTTGGAAAATATTTCAGGTAAAAAATTGTGGACACAGACCCAAGCTGTATAGTTTCCAGTCTGTGAGTGCTTGTGAGTTTTTTTTTATAGTGCAGCTCAAAATCAAGCTGTGAATATGAATATTTCGGTGATATAAATGAGGCATATGAGCTTAGATACGAAATGAAGTTAAGAATTATATGTACTAGCACACAAATGTGAATGACAACCGGACCTGTTACAATATGTGATTGGCATATCTTGACAATAAAAGAGAAACCACATTTAATCATAAAAATGCCTTAATTGGTAAAAAGTGTTTACCATAGTTCATAACTGATCCATTAAGGGATTAGGAGGAATTTTCATCCAGAATCCTATAAAGGGAAGAAACGTAAAAATGTCGCAATTGTTAGTTAAAAGACAAAATGTAAAATTGCCATAATTTGGTGCTGGGTGTTAATAACCTGTGAAAAAGCATTTTTGCTGAGTCCTGCTTCCTAGTTTGTATATTTGCATGATAATGCTTAATGGTATTTGTACCTTTGCCTGATGAGGAATGAAATCTGTAGGGGGTTAAGATATTTTTTATCCCAAGTAATGAACTAAATCAGTAGTTTTCTTATTTGACCAGGTTCATTGTGTCAGAACTTTTGAAATTGGAAAGGCAGGTACAACATTTTTTTTTCTTTCTTTCTTTTAATTGTCATAAATTATATGCATAAGTTAAAATGCAGGATGTCGTCACAGTTAATTCTCACCGTGCCTATTAATTCTCATCATACTATAGAATTTACATTAGGTTGGTGCACAAGAGGCTTAACCATTCCATACTGCCCCGGCCTTTAGGAATAGTGCCAACTAGANCCTCTCGGGCAAATATTGCCAGCATCTTTAGAAAGAAGTGATGAAAGACTGAACGTTTTATGTCAAGTGAAACCTGGAATAATCAAGTGGTGAAAGTCTTTTTTTATAAATAGATGGCAGCACTGTCAAATTAGTTATTGGCAGGGGTTGGTGAGCTGGAGTGGGGGGGAGGGGGTACATCAGGGATGTGCACATGTGGTTCGTATTTAATGATAAGGTGAACATTAAAAGAAGCATGAATATTAATGTTTATAAAAGTATGTGAGCTGTTACCATGTTGGAAAATATTTCAGGTAAAAAATTGTGGACACAGACCCAAGCTGTATAGTTTCCAGTCTGTGAGTGCTTGTGAGTTTTTTTTTATAGTGCAGCTCAAAATCAAGCTGTGAATATGAATATTTCGGTGATATAAATGAGGCATATGAGCTTAGATACGAAATGAAGTTAAGAATTATATGTACTAGCACACAAATGTGAATGACAACCGGACCTGTTACAATATGTGATTGGCATATCTTGACAATAAAAGAGAAACCACATTTAATCATAAAAATGCCTTAATTGGTAAAAAGTGTTTACCATAGTTCATAACTGATCCATTAAGGGATTAGGAGGAATTTTCATCCAGAATCCTATAAAGGGAAGAAACGTAAAAATGTCGCAATTGTTAGTTAAAAGACAAAATGTAAAATTGCCATAATTTGGTGCTGGGTGTTAATAACCTGTGAAAAAGCATTTTTGCTGAGTCCTGCTTCCTAGTTTGTATATTTGCATGATAATGCTTAATGGTATTTGTACCTTTGCCTGATGAGGAATGAAATCTGTAGGGGGTTAAGATATTTTTTATCCCAAGTAATGAACTAAATCAGTAGTTTTCTTATTTGACCAGGTTCATTGTGTCAGAACTTTTGAAATTGGAAAGGCAGGTACAACATTTTTTTTTCTTTCTTTCTTTTAATTGTCATAAATTATATGCATAAGTTAAAATGCAGGATGTCGTCACAGTTAATTCTCACCGTGCCTATTAATTCTCATCATACTATAGAATTTACATTAGGTTGGTGCACAAGAGGCTTAACCATTCCATACTGCCCCGGCCTTTAGGAATAGTGCCAACTAGAAAAGCACTCCGAGAGTGCAGACCTCCGCCAAGGCAGCGATTTTTGATTAGTTATTGATTATTGATCCGGATCACCACCAAAAACTAATCATCTCTTCATTGGCCCACTTCCGACCTACCCTGAAAATTTCATCAAAATCGGTCCAAAACTTTTTGAGTTATGTTGATGACAAACAAACAAACAAACAGACCAACAGGGGTGAAAACAACCTCCTTGGCAGAGGTAATTAACCTGGAGAGACTTCAATGGATTATTCCTGATAGCACCTGGGTTTATCATCATGGGTCAGAACTTGAATGCTAAATTGAAAAAAAATATTGAGTGTCTATTAGAAATATTTTTCATAGGTGAAATAAACCCCAGATTCACACAACCATTGGCATGCACCAGAAATTCTTATTACTATTATCAGTTAGTATTCAGCACATTAACTGGATTAATAATTATTTGGAAATTGTATGGTATTTATTATGTGTTATTTATTCATGTTTTAATAAGGCAGATGATTGTTATGTTCATCTGTAATTTTATGTGGAATATATTGTACTATATATTTGTTGGACGTTTTTTTTTTTTTTTTTTTTTTGTTTTGTGCTATGAACAAGTTTCAATCTAGTTATTAAGGTGCATTTATGTGTCCATGTATAGACAAAGTAAAACCTTCATGTGTTACTAACTGTTACACTGGTAATATAATTCATATATTATTTGTATACATGATTGATCTCTTTCTTATTCATATGTAGAAAAGTGATCATCAAAACTAATTAACTAAACCATATTTTAAGGGTGCTGTCAAAAAAGCAAACTGAGAGAACGGTTATTATTTTGGAACTGCATACCATACAACTTTAGCATGATAAAACAAACCAGGACAATTAATGTGAAGGATGATATCATGTTTTAAGCTTAAACTCTGGTTTCTTACAAAGTATGGTTGTGATGTATATTTTAGTGTTATTTTTTCGTGTTTGTGTGTTGCAGTTATTTCAAACAGAAAACGTATGTTTATTGAGTGACTTTGCAATAGGCTTCTTTGTTCAGGTCCACTTGATGAGTGGAAAATGCAGACATAATGGCATTATCTTTTAGCTCTAAATTCATTTAAAATGTTTTTTGTGTAATTTTGCTAGATAAAATATTGTTTGCCACCTACAATCATTCCGTCACTGCAAATGTACCTAAAACTGTTGGGTGGATGCTTTATTATTTCCTGTGATCCTTAAATGTGCATTCTGTAAACAATGATGTTTTATATGCATGTATGAGAATATAGTTACATATCTTAAAAAAGAAAACAAACCAGCCAAAGCTGGCAAAATATACTGATGACTGACAAAATAATAAAACATATTCTAACATTGAACTTTTAACTGTCCTGGGTCTCAGTGATATTAGGACGTAAAAATAAAACAATAAACTGGCAGTGCTACAGTTGAGAAGGGAGATCACAATGAGTTTGGTGTGCTCCAGGATGCACAGCATTGATGTGCATTGGGTCATGGGCATTCTCTTTATCCAAGTGTAAAGAGTGAGGAATATATGGAGATTTTTTTAAAACAACAACATCAGACACTTAATTCGCAAGTAAAATTAATATGAGACAAAGAGATGCGTGTTTCAATTTTAGCAAAATACCACTGGACTTGTGAAAATAAACACCTTAATACTTACCCCAGCTCCAGGTGGCTCGGGCTAATAAATGCTGATTGGAAAAGTATATATTGTCTATATTAAGTAGTACTAAACGTATAGAAGTAACATTGAGTTTTGGTACCTTGTATTGAAAAAATGATGTTTGCAACGGATATATTATTTCCTTCTTTCTTTCTGGAGGAGGAAAAGGTAAATCAAATTTAATGGACATTTTTTTTTCAGTTTCTCCATCTCTTATACCTTAACTGGTCAGCTAATTTATTAATGCAATGAAATAGTGCACAAAGCAAAAAGGAAAAAAAGAGGAATATAGGTCCTCTGATCATTGATCAAATCAGCCCCGGTAGAAGGGTAAAGAAGAGAGAATCCTCCCAAAAAAAAGCTAAGAAAGGGACGAAAAAAGGACGAAAACTTCCGATAAGGCTTCGGTAGACAACCCTCCACGGGGCGAGGAGGGCGATGCAGAGGACTCAGAGTGGATCGTTGTCCACTCCAAAACCCCAAAAAAAGTGGACACGAAAACAAAATACACGAAAGACCTAGACCCATACTGTTTGAAAATTTGCCTAGGCATTTGGAAGATAATCTCTTTAAAGTAAAAAAAAGTACTCGGTGATGCCAAAATCGTCAAAACCAAGAAGGGTAACACCCTCATCTTTACCAAGGATGAGATCTCTACTGACAAGCTACTTGCCTTAAAAACCAAGGAGAACCAATTAAATGAGGTTGACTTTTAAAAAGTAGCTATTAAAAAACAAAACAAAGAAAATCTGAGCGTCGTCGTCTGCAATATAGCTACATCAATAACGGACGACGAAATAAGAAAAAGGTCTAATAGCTAAGCGCATGTTTAGTGCTAAAAAGAGAAACGAAATCAACAAGGTTAAAATCACATGCGAAGACAAAAAAAAAAAAAAGAAAGAAACACTTGCTCAAGAACATGGAATGGTGCTTGTATATCAGAATTACAAAATACTTGACCATAAACCAGTCACAACATCAGTGAGGCAGTGTTATAACTGTCAACAGTTTGGGCACGTAGCCGCACACTGTAAGAAAACCGAGACCTGCAAAAACTGTGGAGGAACGCACAATCATAGAGAATACAAATGTGCTATTTGCAAGGAAGAACATCCGGCATCATTCAAAGGATGCAAGGTGTATAAAAAAGAAATAAACTCTGAACAAAATGCATACCAATAGACAACGCAAAAAGGAAATGTGACCGAATCTATGTAATATTGGCAATATGCCTAGCAAAACTGCTCATCAATTTGAATCCGCCACTGGATTTTGACAAAATCCAGTGGCGGATTTAGAGGGGGGTCGGGGGGGGGGGGTCCTTCGGTTTCTGAAAAAATATTCCCCTCTTGAAATTAGACTCTGCCTAATCCTCTTTCGAGATGGAGACTTATTGTGCCTTCAAATAAACCAGACTATAATTCAAATGAAAATGATTTCAACAGCAACCCCTCAATCAAAATGTGCCGAACCCGTAGTAATTTGCATAACAGTAAGTCGCTCAACGCAGTGCGCACTACTCGTATCTTCTTGACTGGTCACTTGACAGCTGCACACTGTAAGGACAGGACGCTGATATGTGTGATGAAGTCGCAGAGCCGGAATTTTCATTCAGCTTCGAGAATTGTAACGAATTTGTCATGTGAGTAATAGCTTTTCATGTTTTTTACGAGTTCAAACTACCAGATAATAATTTATTATTATTTTACTCGATCTAAACTTTACGTTCGCCTGAGTAGTTGACTGGATTTGAGAAAAGTTGCATAGTGATATTTTTAAAAATCTTGAAAAGCACGTGCTGCCAGTAAAGACACAATATAATATGAAGAAAGTTATATTAGATAGCTTGATTTTTGGTGCCCAGATGCTGTCCCTTCAATGTCACTCACTGTCCGTAATTAGGCCACCTGAACACATTTCTTATTTTAAACACTTCCGTAGTAGGCCTACTTGATATATAGGCCTAAGTGTGAAGCTTCTCAGATGCCTACATTACAAACTGATCAGTATAACAGTGCATTTAGTTTTACCGGTATTTAAAAAAAATTCCCATATTTTCAATTGGAACATTAACGAGAGAAAGCTTTTAAAGTTTTCACGATGACTTGTGTATGTTAGCCGTCTAGACTCTAAAGCTTTGACTTCAGGTTATTGTAACCTTTTATTATCATCCAGATACCAAAAATGAGTTTTTTCCTTTATCTAATTATTCAATAATGCATCTATCTTTGTGCTGATTTAAAACGATGAAAAAACTCGAAAATATAAAATATCGGCTTTTTTTTTCGTTGCCTTTCTATTTTGCTGCTGAACAATAATTTAGTACCCCCTAGCAGCTTCAGACCCCCTAGCATGTA